CACGAAAGCTTAATTCTTTCAAAGTTTAGTTAAGGTAATAATTTTTTTCCATCTATCATGTGTACCCAAATTAATTTGGTAATATGTGAATTTTTTTTGTAAGAGTTAAATTTTTTATTTTCAATCAGTTGTCGCCACACATAAACTTGGTCTATTGCACTTGTATCAATTCTGCCAATTTTCTACCTATGCATTAATTCTGCCAGGTAAAGAATTTCACCCCAACTTTTCCTATACCTAGAAATCAATTCACTCACCTAGAAGTCTAGCAGAATTGTGTGTGTATACGTGTATGCATAATTGAATTTTTTTATGTCAGCATAATGAATTTCTCTATTTTTATTACCATATACATCCATATTCCTTCCCCGTAAATATTATATTTTTAATATCATTTCGAAGTGCTCATGACCTAATTTCTCATATCCCTAACAGCGTGCGAAACGGCCTATCGTAGCGAAAGTTACCACTCGTCGAAGCAGGCCGTTCCAAAATTATATTAAATTATATTCCATAGGGACAATTTCTACAAATTACCAAAACGTTCTAATGGATGTTTAATGATTTATGGATGGAAGGACCAATTCCACAAGAAACGTTTGAAATAATGGTACAAATGCCAATTTTAAAACGATAGGGATCATTTTAACAAAGAGTGTAAACATTGAGGACCATTTCTGTTAGTTACCCTGTTCTCAAGGAATATTATTTGCTCTTGAAGAACATAAATTATAATTTTCAATATTTTAGATGGATATTGACACATTGTTCTTGAAAAAGCAATAGTAAAATACAACGTGCTCTCGAAGTAACACATGTTTCGAAGAACTTATTATTTTAAATTAGTATTTATCCCTGAAAGAAAATACGCAACTTATGTCATATTGACATATTGTTTTTGAATGAAAAATAATAAATACAACGTGCTATTGAAGTTGCACGAGTTTCGAAAGATGTATCATTTTGAATTCATATTTATCCCTTAAGGACAACATGTAATTAATGTCATGAGGACATTGATTAGTTTGATTACTTGAATGATATATGATTATATAATGTTTAATCATATTCCTCAAAATTAAATAATTGAATTATATCTTATATTGAACTAGAAATTCAATTTGACTTTATTGTTTGGCATAACCAATTGAACCATCATTGGATCAAATAATGATGCGAAATTAAATATTCAAATGAAGATTCACGAAGAATCAGAAGATTCTTCAATCCAAAAAATTTATATTTGATATTTGTTCTCTTTATTGAAAAATTAGTCATTGATCTTTACTAGCTAAATAAGGATTAAATTCCTTATATTTCTGAAAACTAATTAGGGTGATAAATGAGGCCCCATTATCCTCCATGTTGACCATACGAAAGTGCTACTCAAATTATAAGTATAATTTTCAGATTATACAATTAAGACTGTGTGTCTTTTTAATACCAGTGATCCTAAATCTCAACTTTTTAGTAAGTGTTAGTTGAGATGTCGATAAATGGTTTAACATTATTGTTTGTTAAATGCCTCCAATTAATTTAATTGAGAACCAAATACTTCCCATTTCAATTTAGGGAAAATCATTACGTATCATGGCAACATCATAGTTCTCTTAGTTATAACTTGGCTTATGGTCAGAACCTAATTTTTCCATTAAACTATTTCGTTAGTGCAGTATATGTAAAATTGATATACCACAATGCGCTGAGATGAAAACTAAAGAATGTTGAGAATAAATGCGTAGCATGAACCCTTATTTGAAATGGGTCATATTTTATAACACTAGAAAAATGATTGTCATTTTGATTGGACAATTTTCTCGGCATTGAGGGGAGAAATTAAGAATCTGAAAATAATGTACAAATGTATCATTATTTAAATCCTCGCAAAAGACAATTCAAACCAGAAGTTCAAAGAATAATTCATTTAGATTCATTTACTGACCAAAGAGATTAACAATCTCACACATCAGTTTTAAATACTCTAACTCGAATTGACTCCTGGAAGGACAATTCGTTAATATTATATTTGATAATTTTATAGCACGTCTGAAACATGATGATATTCGATTCATTACAAAATCCTCCAAACGAAAATGGAGCAATTAATAAAGATTGTCTTATTAAGAAGATATATATTTTTAATGAGTATTTAGACATAACATATTATAAAACCCAGAAGAGGTTCAAGTAACTGAAATAATGAAAATTGATATATTTCAATAAGTTATGTCATTAAGAAAAAAGAAATAGAATCGAAAAAGATAAGAAAAAGTTTTCGACAATACTTTTGCATATGATGTACTGTCTCATATTATGAATAGCAAATGAATCTCAAATACGCTAGAAACGTGGTAGACCAATTGGTTCAAAATATTCTGTATCTCGAAAAAGAAAATTACAAGAAAAAAATCAACTAAAAACTTCAGAAGAAGTAACATTAGAGGAAATTGATTAATCAAATATTGAAAATATGGTTCCTGAAGAATCATAAGTGTCCGAAAATAATGAGATTTCAATAAATTATGTTATCTCATAAATTATGGGAGCAAAATAATATTGTTACAGACAATATTTTTTTCTTTAACGTGACTCTTGATATTATACAAAACGAGGATACTGAACCCCTGTCTGTGAAAGACTGTCAAAATAAAAATGATTGACCAAAGTAAAAACAAGCCATACGGGCGGAATTGAATTCCTTAGAGAAACAGAAAATGTTTGGACCTATAGTTTGAACACCTTAAAATGTAATCACTGTTAGATACAAATGGGTTATTGTACGAAAGAGAAATGAAAATAATGAAATTACAAGATACAAGGCTCGACTCATAGTTCAAGTTTTCTCACAAAGATTAGGAATTGATTATGAGGAAACATATTCTCCCATAATGGATACCATCACTTTTAGATTTTTAATTAGTTCGACTGCGTCACAAAAGCTCGATATGCGACTTATGGATGTAGTAACTGCCTATTTGTATAGTTCACTTGATAGTGACATATATATGAAAGTCCATGAAGGAATTAAAGTGTAAGAAACAAATGATACATGACCGAGAACTATGTTTTCAATTAAATTGTAAAGATCATTATATGGATTGAAACAATTCAGACGCTTGTGATATAATCGCCTTAGCGAATATTTATTGAAAGAATGCTATAAAAATGACGATGTCTGCCCATGTGTTTTCATAAAGAAAACAAATATTGGATTTGCAATTGTGGTAGTTTATGTTGATAACTTAAATTTGATTGGAACTTCTGAAGAGCTCAACAAAGTTGCAGTGAGATGAGGAAAAACTAAATTTTGTCTTAGGTTGCATATTGAACATTTCCAAAAGGATTATTTGTTCATCAATCTATATATATAGAAAAAGTCTTAAAACGATTTTATATGGATAATGCACATCTATTGGCATCACCTGTGGTTGTTCGATCACTTGATATAAAAAAAGATCATTTTCATCAACTTGAAGATGGAGAAAAAATTCTTGGTCCTAAAGTACCATATCTTAGTGCATTGGAGTATTAACTTATCTTGCAAATTGCACTCGACCCGACATAGCTTTTTTTTGTAAATCTCCTTACAAAATATAGCTCTACACCAACACAAAGACATGGGAATGGTGTTAAACATATTTTTCATTACCTAAAGTGTATTATTGATTTGGGATTATTTTATTCTCAAAAGTCGGGTTCTATTTTAGTGGGATATGCAGATGTATGTTATCTCGTCGACTCACATAAAGCTAAATCACAAACAAGATACGTGTTTACATGTGGAGGAACGGCTATATCATGGAGATCTGTGAAACAATCATTGACGACAACATCCTCAAATCATTCTGAAATTTTGCAATCTATGAAGTAGCCGAGAATGTATATGGTTGAGGAATATGACCAATCATATCCAAGCATCATGAAAATTAATTTCAACAAAAGATAGTCCAACAATTCTGTACGAAGATAACGCTACTTGTATTGCACAACTCAAAGGACGAAGCATATTTTTTCAAAATTTTTTCATACACACGAGCTTCAGAAGGATGACGACATCGAAGTTCAACAAATTCGTTCAAGTGACAATTTGGCTAATTTATTTACGAAAGCACTGCCAATATCTACATTCAAAAAATTGGTTCACGGGATTGGAATGCGTCGACTCAAAGATTTTCAGTGATCAACATCAGGGAGAGTAGCCGTATTCTTTTTCCTTCGGTTAGGTTTTATCCCACTAGATTTTCCTAGTAAGGTTTTAATGATGCAACATTTATCTTTAATACTCCAAAATAACTGTACTCTTTTTCCTTCGTTTTGATTTTTTTTGTCCCATTGAATTTTTATCAAATAAGGTTTTAACGAGGCAAATATTTTGTGATGTGTCATTCAAGGAGGCGTGTTGTAAAAGGAAAATAAATTAGGGTTTAATGTGAATGACATTCGTACCTCTATAGCCTTAGATATTATTACCATATGTATCCATATTCCTTCCCTATAAATATAAGACTTTGGTTCTCATTATAATACACACAAATCTATTGACTTTTCTGATTCTCTTATCTTTTCTCTCTTTTTATAACATATTCAATAAAATATATTATTATAAAGTAAAACCATAACTAATTGATAATTTATTAGAGCAAGCAAGAAAAAAAATAGCAAAAGTTACAGTCTTTAATGCAAAATATGAAATAAAGCAACACGTTTACTCCCCACTAAAAACTCACTTGACCTTACTAAGATACAATTATTGAACAATTTTTATAATTTCTTACAATTGTAATTTTGCTTTCCTTGTCTGTAGTTCTCATGCATCAGCAAAATGTACAATTCATCAGAGGATTAATTACCTGCTTATAGAGAATAATATAATTTATAATTATCCTTGATTATCAGACACTGACTTTACAACTCTGTGATAGCTGATACTTAACTGCAGTTCCCATCACGATTCCAGTATTCCGGCTATTTCCGATCGGAATATACGCCGGACAGGTAACATGGAGGTGGTACCGGCCGGAGACGAACGACCCAACTTTCCACTTAACACGGCCGTTAATCTTGAAAACCATAAAGATAGCTCCGTTAGACTTGTCCTGGTTCAAGGCCATACCATTATACGGCGCCACAGGCACGTCGTTACCGTAAACAAAAGGCGACCAGATGTTTACGTCCTTGTGGCCCTGATACACAGGTGGTATGACTGTGTAGTAGGTAATTTGCTGGCTGTGGTAGGAGGCGTACACGTCCAGTTTGTCGTAATAAATGCCGATTCTGGAGTTGGGGTTGCGGGAGTTGATGGTGATTTGGACGGTGGTGGAAATGATATTGGGGGCGGAGACGTTGAGAGAAAAGATGGTGGCGTCTTGAAGGATGAACCGGGGTTTCTTTGGCTGTAGGATGGCCCAGACGAGGAGGATGATAAAGAGAATGATGAAGGTGAAGATAAGGAAGCAGGCAAAGCACCGCCAGATGATCTTCTTCCGCCTGCACTTGTGGTGGCAACAGTACTTCTCCGCCATGTTTTGGTGGCTGCACTTCTCCGCCATGGTTTGGTGGCTGCATTTCTCCGCCATGGTTTGGTGGCTGTGGTGGTGGTGGAGGGTGGAGTGTGGAGTTTGGCTGAAGGGTGGGTAGACGAGATTTCTAGGAGGAAATTGAGAACTGATTGGCTTCACACTTCTTATCTATATATATAGGTCCATAATTGCCGTGTTAGAAATGCATAGTGGAATATGTAAGTAAATTAGTCTATAGGAATTATTGAATAGCTTTGAATTATCTATATAGGTCCATTAACTGTTGTAACTTTTTGAGTTTTATCACTCTAAATTAAATTAGTACAATTCTATATAAATTTATGATTTCTCGTCTTGAGATGAAATATGTTCCTTTCTATCACAGGTAAATATTGACTATGATTCATTTTGATTGACAGTTGAACTTGTTTATTTATCTATACTCGTTCTTGTGCTTCTTGTTCTACCAGGCTTCGAATATCACTTCTCCTTTGGATCGCTAAACCAGGAAATCAAATAATTTGTGTTCTTTTATCAAAAAAATTCTATCAAAAAAATCCGTACATGTAAATTGATTCTTTTATTAATAGAATTGAGAATGCTACATAGTTCATAAAAGAATGCATCGACTATACAAAGAGATTAGTGTAATGTCCAAATGCAACATTGACGCGACAGACTTCGATCCCATCAATCTTATAATTGTATCGATTTTGCACGGGTCAACAATCCATGGAAAACGTTTTACAACAATATTTCTTTTGGGACAAATTTAAATCAGAAGAAAGATGATCGAATCCTGACCGTTTGTTTGTGATGGAGATTGACGTATGGAGTGGAGAAGGTTGACACGTTTTGTTCATGTTTGGATTCTAGTATATACTTTTTATTTCATCGATGGGCAAATTCATGTTTATGAATTACACATTTGGTACATGGAAGAATACATTATCATTCGTGAAATATTAAGACTCGAAGTGTCATCTCCAAAATGTCAATCTCGTTAAGATGAATATTTCAAATTTTTATACGTTTTGGTATTAAATCGATACAGAATTTATAATTTAATATGTCATATGAGATGGAAGCTCGTTTGAACATATCAATTTTAAAATCTGTATGTTCCTTTTTAAGTATTATTCGAATTGAATTATCCTTTGGAGTTTAATTAAATCTGATATCATGTTAAAAGTCGTCGTTCTATCTTAAAAGGTCAAATATGTTAATATAAGTAAGATTTGGAATTTATCTTTTAACATGAAAGAATTAGGTTATATCACGATCGAGTGTCATAATAGTAGCCTCCATTAATAAAGATTTAATTTGCAAACTAATAACTAATCTAGAACATTATTTTACATGATAATTTTTATATAATGAACACAACTTTTCATTTAAAATATGAAAAGAATTTAAGCTTTTATCTATATTTTTCAATTATTTATTTAAGTTAGAACTGGATGAAAATGAATATAATAAAATTTGTAAAATAACATTTATTAATATCATGGCTTTTAGTAATTAAATTTGATAAAATAATTAAACAAATAGAATGCAAGTTGTTACCTAATTTAATGCATATGACGTAATTTGTTATTTACAAATAAAGATATTTTTGTCCGTTTTAAATATATATATATATATATTTTTTAGCAAATTGTGTATTTTGTTACCACGTGTAAAGTATGTAACATGCTAATATTCAAAATCCAAAAGATCACGAACTGTCCTCGTACGGACCTAAAAGGCTAAAACTAATCAATTACAATATTTTCCTATAAACTTCAAGAAACCAAACATTCCGAAAATGGTTCTATTTTCTTTTGCTTCGGCACTAAGGAGAGAATAGACAAACTGAAACAGTCCAAAAATAAAGTAATCTATGTATTCAACTTTGAGTGAATGTACGTCTCGAACTCATTCGTGTGTGCTTGAAATCAGTTGAATGCCCATATAACTAAGTAATAATCGGAATCTCCCAAAAGAAAAAAAAGCAGTAGAGAAAAAGGAAAAGTCACATAAAGAAACCAATCAATAAGAAAAGAGGGGCTAAGGCGGGCGTCCTCGTACTAGAAAACCTTGTAGCCATATCCTTTAAAGGGCTACCTTTTTTATCTGAATATGGTGCAAAAGTCCCAACAACATCATGCTTGGAGTTTGAGAAACTCCAGTACAATTATCAATTGTAGGTGGACATTGCTAATAACAATGCATGTACTTTGCTTACTTACAACCCCGATCTTGTTGGGAATTTTAATAGAAATCAAAGAAATCAGTGAATAAGAAGTTGTGAATATCATGATGTAAAGGTTAGTCGAGTTCACAAGCTAAGCCTCTCTTTTCAAGGACATGATTTGGCCCTTTCACATCTCTAAGAGTCCACAACTTGTCATAACCCTACAAATAATTGAAAAAACAATTGACGACAAAATTTATCTTCTACGACGAACGTAGTAATTTCTTGATTTGTATTCAACATTTCTTTTCATGCAATTGATATATGTCTCTAGGCATTTACATTTTAACTGTTACGGGTCTTCCCATGCTCGAATCAGTCGAAAATCTTGATAGCAAAAAACCAATGGTGTAGAAATTATGTAGAGTTTAATAACAGTTAGGTCTCATTATCTTGTACTAAATAGTCTTGAATGTGTGGTAGGTTGTCATAAAGCATTTCCATAGTAAAGATGCTAAGTTTTTCCCACAATAATTGCCTTTGAAAATAGGCCAATTAAAAGAATCTCAAGCACCGCCCCCCTACTATCTCAATTCTTACATGTGGAAGGTGTCATTTTTTTCTTCACTTATTTTGACTTAGTGCGAAACAAAGAATTCAAGCGAAAACTTTAAGAACACAAATTTGGAATCCACCATAGAATGAAAGATAAGTTTAAGAAGTTTTATAAATTCAATAATTGCCTCAAAATGAAAAGTTAGCCCTTTATTTATTAGGATTTACACAAAAACCTAGTTTAAAAGCACAAAAATTAAAAAGAATTCGAAATAAACTAAATGACAGAAATATTACTAAAACTTTAAAAGCAGTTTTCGAGTTCTAAACGAACCAGATTCCTAACATCCACCATATGTTATGGCGAAGGGATGTGTTTAGTATGTCTCGTTGTTCTCTTTCCGAAAAGATATTATGGGTTCAAATTGGAGCTCGAACACAAAATCTGCAATTTACTGTTTTTCCCTTTTCAATCTAACTATTCCTCAATCCACTCGGTCATCTGTTCCACCTCACATTGGAGACTAAACAATGGAAGAATAAGTTTAACAAGTTCATCCTCCTCTTGTTCCATTTCTGTCCTGCGCCAAACAAAAGGTAAGAAAGTCGAGGCGGACATAGATCCTAACAAGTTGATTGAAAATAAGACACCCGAGCAGGTCGTGTCAAAGAAAAGGGACGAAGAGTGCAGTCTACCTTTACCCCTCTACATGTACCACTTTCTACTTCCATGTCAAAATGCTGATCATACAAGTCCTGGATCACAAGCTGGAAATAACAAAAAAAAAAAAGAGTTGATGTTTGATAATCAAGCATACATAGTGCATTTTCAAAGAAAATAAGACTAAAAAAAGCGAGAAATATTTACTATTGCACTGATCCAGTGCTTTTCTTTGTTAAGAACAATTAAGTTATGCTAACATTGATAAAAGCACACATATCTCAGTACACAGAATAGAATGAAAAGTGTGATTATACGAAATGTGTCACATAAATAGAGTATCAGCCTTTCATAAGATTAGAGGCACCTCTTCTGAAAAATCGATCCATAACCTGAAATTTAAGAACTGGAGTTTTCCAAAAAGGTAACCTTGAAGCCACCAGCAGGTAAACAATAATGGCTGTCCGAGGCTGGAAGAGGCACTGGAATCAAGTTCTGGTCTAACCAAGACCATTCTGCTGAAACTTACGAATCAGCAAATTTCTTGTTAGTAACTCAGAAGTAGTTTGCCTCTCCAATATTTTTACCCGATGTATTAAGTTATACATTTTACTCATGCAGTCAATTCCATATGTAATTCCTATTTTTTGCGCTAATGCAAGATACTTGTCATCAGAACACGACGAACCCTAAACCTATTGAACATTTGAGCAGCAAACGTATTGCTAAAAATTCTTGAACTTGGAGAGGAACACAAATATTATACAAGCAAAGTAACGATAAGCTCACTTGTCATGAAAAAAACACAGAATTTATGGTCTCAATTTCAAATGCCCCTACATAGCGAAAGCTCTGAAGCCTAAATCCCACTTCACGTCAGGGCACTCAAATTGAAAACTGATGATAAACCAACCAGTCCCTCTCTTAAATCCAAACATTTTATGGTCTCAATTTCAAATGCCACTACATAGCGAAAGATCTGAAGCCTATATCCCACTTCACGTCAGGGCACTCAAATTGAAAACTGATGATAAACCAACCAGTCCCTCTCTTAAATCCAAACATCAGTTATTAAAATTGTGATGATCTCTAAGCAAAACCACATGGTGGCAGGCAAAATTCTGAATGAAATGTATAGACATGCTATTCTGTTTCTCTTGAAGAAGCAGATTTTGAAATGTTGTATGAGTTATTAAAAAGTGAACGCTATTATCTCCTTAAACTTAGATAAACTGATTTAGCACGTAAACCATCTCAATAGCAGATGACTCTAGCTGTGTAAAGCATATAAAGAGAAGTCTCATGACATAGGATTTGATCAGACAATTGAAATCGTCAAGACAAAACTTAACTCCACATAAGTTTTGCACTTAATGATCAAACTCACAAGTGAGATCTGTGCTTCAGAGGAGACCTTCGCAAGATTCACATTCTCTCACGAGAAATTGCAGCATATATTTCAAAGTATACGTTGTCAAACCAAGATACTGGATTCTTATAATGTCGAGGGAAAGCCTTGTCACGTCATGACAGAGTAATCAATTCCAAAATTCAACATCAACTAGCCATTGTGCGGCACACAACACGTGCAATATTGCAATAAAAGAAATCCCTTAAGTCGCATAATGAAAAAGCCAGACAGGAAACAAAAACAGTTACACGACAAATCGTCGTCCAGGCTTTGCGGGGTGAATCTTCTAATTTATCACGTTCCAACCAATGATGAAAGAACTTGACTGCTCCCAATGATTGAGTAATAAATTTCTCACAGAAAATAATTTTAATCTGTATAAAAGATAACATTAAAACATATTCAAGAAATTATGGCATTCCAAAATAAAAAAGAAGGTATTTTTCTTAATGTCATTGTTCATACTATCATGGAAATTCTTCAAATTTATTGTGTTTCCTCAGCAATTCATTGCAGGGAAACATAATTAGTTCACCTTGTTCATAAGAGAAACATTGTCAATTATCTCAATCAGAAAGGACTCAAATTAGTTATGCAATTGTTTCTAAGATAGTTATAAATTGAGCATCCACCATAAAATCACTCATTAAATATCACCTGATAAATCAGAGAGATGGATCAACACAAAATTTATCGTGCAAAGATGCATTATGATCAACTGACAGAGGAAAAAGAACCCACAAGAAATTGCTAAAAACTTACTTCCATTCCATATATTTTTCTTATTCCTGATTAAAACCAAGAATTTCCATGACATTTATTTTTAAAAGAGATAAACGGCACAATGCCGATTGGGATCCTGAAGAATTCTCGAGTAGTTATTAGGGAGAGAAACCAATATGATGCCTCCGCAGAATGCTTTCATCAATTGATCCTTGGTTTTCCACTTTCCATTCTGGAAATTCACCAGTGCAAGAACCTTAACCCCAAGAGTGAAAGTTCCTTGATGCAGATCCTCTTTCAGGGCCAGGCCCACATCCTTTCCAAGATCCAGATCATAGAAGCCGAGATCAGTGTTTAGCACAGTCTCATTCTTCCTGGGTTGAATCATGGGAGGCAAACAGTCTTTAGAAAGCTGTACACGCTGGGAGGATATATAGAGAAGGGTTATTTCCATTTGATTATATATAGCGGTCAAGTGGTGGTTGGGATTGGTAAGAGTGAGGCTCAATTTGCACGAGGCTGTAGCTGTGTTATTGAAGATTGAAACTTTGGAAAGCTCGCCGGAGGAGACTTCAAGTTGAGGAGTACTTGGTTGGACTACACACCAAATAAAAAACCAGAATATACAAGTGATAAGAGTTAATAGTAGCGCCAGGGTTAAAGCGCGGAAAAAGATGGGCCTATCAAGGCATGGAAGCTGGTAGAGATGAGCATACAATGCATGTTCTGGCGTGGGTTGTGGCTGTGGAAAAGGGAGAGGTAAATGGGGGCTGTCACTGATGACAGGGACGTTCTCCGACGACTGTATCTCCAAAGGGTACTCAATAACAACTTTTGCTTCACCAGTAGAGGCATTGATGACGGACGCAGAGGCGGTGGTGTGATGGGTGGCGGAGGAAGAGGCGGAAGATGAGGAGGAAGAGGAAGCCATTGCCAATTTGTTATGTTATACAAAAAATGAATGGAGATTGTGAATTTGTAGATTCAACCGATGGGACATAATGAAGTTTGCTCGCAGAGTTTAAGGGTTTGATGATCACACGTGGAAGAGAGTTGTCTCCATGAAGCTTCATTGAGGGGATAGCTAAATTTATTTTGTCGTTTTGGGCTTCTTTTCTGGTGTTTTTAGTTGTTGACACTCGGGGATTTCATTGATGAAAGCTGTAACCGACGATAAAGGTTCATGAATTTATGACCTAAAAAAGTGCTGCTTCAATTTGTTTGTTTCTGTGAATGAACAGATTCATAAATGGCTATGGCATTTAGGTATGAAAATAGAGGGAAAAGTAAACTGAAAGTAGGAGTGTGGAAGACGAAGTGGTAAAGCAGCGTTCAGCAAACCGTATTTTATATTAGGGTAAATTGCATCTGAAGTCCCAAGCCTTTCAAGAATGTATTTCCAGGTCCCAACTAGAATATTGAGCCCTTGTTTGGTCCTGATTTCATTTTTTTCCTTCAAAAATTCATTTTTGACCCCACATTTCATAGAACATACATTTTTATCAATTTTCAATCACCTTTCATCAACTTTGATCAACATTTACTAAAAATATAATTTTAAACCAAACAAAGGCTGAGAAAGTTGATATCTTTTTTCTACCCAAAGCGGAAGCAAGTTTACCGTTGTTATCCAAGCGTTAAAAACCTCTCAACGTGGCACTTTGATCGTAAAGGAATCTATTCTATCAAATCAGGTTATTGTCTAGCCATGACAATCGAAGAGAATGATTTACAATAACGTCAAATTCGTTACAAAGCTGATGATACTTTATGGCAATTTAGAACCGAATAAGACTAAAATTTTCATTGAAAGTTATTCAGTGATGGATCCACAAATTTTATCAAATTTTCAACCATACATTTCCTCAACTTTTAAAAAAAATTTAATAAAAATCTAATTTTTAAGCGACAAGTATGTGATGGTTAAGTAATGTGCATATTTCTCTTCAAGTTCCAAGCTCCTCAATACAAGAAAATGAAGAATTTTATTGATCAATGAAACAACATACATTCTTTTTTGTCACCATTCCATGAACCACCACCCGTTGGAGCTGGAAAATCAACCTTTAATTCCACACATGCAACTTTTAAGGTTGTCGGTCTTCTCCAAAACTCCCCAGCCATAAATGCAGCTGTTGCTATGATCCTAACTTCAAAAACCATGCTCCCTTTACGTCGTTCTTCTAGCATATCTTTCACCCATGGCGCTTCAGTCGTGCTATAATATGTGTCATCAGAAGCAGGCACGAAAAAGTCGGTATCCATATCCATTTCTTCTCCTCTCTCCACTTGAAAAGAATCAACCAAGGATGTATCGACAATGAAATTCTTGTAAACAAGGCTACTTTCGGTTTGATCGAAAGAAATATCCAGTTTACGGTTTGGATTCTTTATGTTCAACCTGACTTCCCAATTAGCCTTTAACTTTGTATCGGTAAAGTTGAAATTGGGAATGGAAAACATTTGAATTTCAAAACTGGGAACGACTGAACCGACAAGAAACCACAATAGGAGGCTCAAGAGGACCGCGCCAAAGATTAACGCAACCATAAGGCAAAGCACGACGCAACAAAATGTATTGCTGGGTTTGTTCTCGGTGGTTGGGACTGGTAATTTATTAGACGATGGATAGGCCGGATTGTACTTGTTGGAATAGCCAGGACCGTCATGATACGGTTGTGCTAATTCTTGATAGGGAGGATGGTCATTCGAAGGATGTCCTTTGGATTCCTCGTCGACGGAGCGAGACATGGCTGTCCCTCCCTCCTGTCTGTCTAAGGGTGGAGAGAAACAATTAAAGAAGGACAATTGGATCCCTATAGCCCAATCGAATTGAAGAGGGAGAGTGGCCTCTTGTTTGAAAATGTAAGCTGAGGCAATAAAGCCAATAATTTTAGTGGTTGAAATTCATGTGCATATAGAAAACATATTTCAGGGGTGTCCTAAATTTACTGCCCAGTCAGCCATTTTTTACGTAGTAATTAGGAAATTCAACCATGAATTATCAGAGAGAACAAGGAATGATAAATAATAAAAAAAAGGTGAGAATTTCAAGATTCTTAGCCTTCAAATCTTGGATGGATCCAACCTTAGAGCCAAAACCATTGACTACAATTGACAAAAGAAAGCAAGAGCAAATTGAATGTTTTGCAATCTGTGTTGATGAGCCTATGGCCGGTCAATTCCCGAGCCCGTCTCATCTCTCCTTCAAAGGTAGATCGGCCGGGAATGCAATGAGTGGCCCAACTAATGGAGAAAAATTTCAGTAGAATGATCCTATATACTCCTATATACTTATGTAGTACCCGTTGTCACTCAAGGATGACACTCGTCTTTTATATTACATTCCATTAATATTATGTTCTCATGAATATGTTAAAAAACTAGTGAGAAGCACGTGCAAGGCACGTGTCATGATAGAGTTGACTACGTAATAGTGTATGTATAAAAAAATTATTTATGTCAAGCATTAGTTACGTAAAATTTTTTTAGAAGTTGTTAAATGTTTTGAGACAACATTGGAAAGCGCGGTTCAATATGTGAGTGCATTTCAAGGAAACACTCAAGTGGAACAGAACTCCATCCTTGGCATCAAACAAGCCATGGCCCAAAGAGTCAAATGCGGGCATTCATTTTAAGTCACAAAGTAGGAAAAAAATATAATCATTTTCCTATATATCAATAGTCTACAGGTTTAGCAAGAAATTCCTCGGGAAGTGTTGGTATAACGTCTCTTTAAATGCAATTGTGTGCATTTAGAATCCTATTTCTAATAAGGCCCCGTCTGGACGGGATTGTTCATTTCCATTAATTGATTCCTGCGTCAGCTCATGTACAGTGCAAGCTTGGAGGTTTTGAAAAATTGGTGCAATATTTAATTCCTCGGGAAGTGTTGGTATAACGTCTCGTTAAATGCAATTGTGTGCATGTAGAATCCGATTTCTATTAAAGGTGATAATTTGCAGTGCCATACAACTAAATGAAAATTAAGTAAGAATGTAACCCTGCGAAGGCGATGTGTGAAGTATATGTTGACTGGTTTGTCAACAGATTTTTGTTTTGTTTTGTTTTGTTTTGTGAACCATGGTTAGGGCAACTAACTATAGTGTGGTAGAGAAAACAAATATAGCAGCAGTTTTTTTTTTATATATACCAGCAGCAGAAACGTGAGAACTACAGAGACTGGAGAGTTGAAAAAGGGAAGAGGTTGTTCTTCTCTTGGTGAAATCAAAAGCTCCTTCTTTATAGATTGAATGGTGTTCTTCATGTACTAAAATCTGTCTCTCATATTCTTGCATCTTGGTTTCTTCACACCTAAATCTTTTCACA